ATATTATATATAAATTACATCAATTTATACGATATATATATATATATATATATATAGTTTATTCAAATTTAGGTAATCCGTATGGGTAGACCTGAGGAGGATGATATCCAGAGAGCTCAATGTAAAATTCAGAGCATATATGTTTGAATAAAAGACAGACCACGTTAAGATTCCATGTAATAAGCTATTTCACCATAACCCCTTTTACAGGGTTCTGGATCATCAGACTTTACTTCCAAAAGCTGAAATGAGGATTCTTCATTTCAGCTTTTGGAAATAAAGTCTGATGATCCTGAACCCGTTAAAGGGGTAAGGTGAAATAGCTTATTGTTATTGAATCTTAAAAATAAATATATATATATATATATATTTTTTTTTTTATATATATATTTTTTTTTTTTTTTTTTTTTTTTTTTTAAGCATTTCACCCCAAGCAAGGCGGAGAGCCACTAGGACGCAAGGGGTTACAGAAAATAGGAAGATCAGATAGGGTGATAGAAGAAAGGATGAGGGTAGTAGATAGATTAAGGCAACTGGAGATGTCGATTGACATTACACTTGAATAGCTGGAGATTATAACTCTCAGGGAAACAGGAGAAGGGAAGAGAGTTCCACAGGCGAGAGGTGCGAGACATGAAGCTATTAGAGTAGTAGAGACGGCTACATTTATGAGTTTTTCGACAGTGAAGGGGTGAGAGCGGGATGCCAGCCTCGTGGGGCGCTTGAACTCATGAAGTTTGGGAACCAGCGAATGCAGTTCCTCGGAGCAATTTCCATGAAAGTATTTGTAGAACAGACAGAGGGAGGCGACGGTGCGTCTGTGAGAAAGTGACTGTAGACGAGACGCCAGGGTAGGGCCAACCATATTACATATCCGCCTCTGGAGCCTATCAAGAACCCCGAGGCAAACAGAAGGGGCGCCAGACCATATATGGCAGCAATACTCCATGCAAGGGCGAATTGTGGATTTGTATATCTGGAGGATCGACTCAGGGAGAAAAAACTTCCTAGCACGGCTCAGGAGCCAACTTTCCTCGCAGTGGACGAGGCAATTGACTCGATGTATTTATTCCATCTCAGGTCAGCAGTCAACGTGAGACCGAGAAGCCGCAGAGAGTTGCTCTCGGGAAGTTGAGCGTCAGACATTATAATGGAGGGAAGGAAGGCTCTCTGTGGTGATTAATAGAGAGCAGTTTAGTCTTCGAAGCGTTGAAGTTGACCAGCCAAATCTTGCCCCAGTTCACAATCGATTGGAGGTCCTTTTCGAGGCGCACGGCAAGGTGAGTTTTGTCAGCGAAACTGGATTTGTTTTTTGAGGCAGGAATAAATTGTGGTGTCATCCGCGTAGATGCCGACTTGAGAAGTTACGGCGTCAGGAAGGTCATTTATATAGATAAGGAATAGAGTGGGGCCTAGGATGGAGCCTTGAGGAACTCCTGCGTTCGTGGGGTAGGAACTGGAGGAGAATCCGTTGTGAACGACCTTCAATTCACGGTTTGACAGGAATGATTGTATTACGTTATATAATTGACCCGTAATGCCATAACCCTGGATCTTGCGGAGAAGGCCGGCGTGCCAAACCCTATCAAATGCTTTGAGATATCTAGTGCCACGGCTCGGGCTTCCCCGTTATTTTGGAGAGTTCGGTAGACTGTTTCCGTGATGGCTGTGAGCACATCGGCTGTAGATCTGGCAAAGCGAAAACCATATTGCTTGTCTGAGAGCAGATTATTGGATGAGGTGGTTAACCACCCCGGTATTGATTAGAGCTTCGAAGATTTTGCCGAAGAGGGAAGGAGACTGATAGGACGGTAGTTGGAAGGGTCAGAGGGGTCGCCGGAGTTCTTGAAGACAGGAACAATCGAAGAGGACTTCCAGCAGTCAGGAAAACAAGATTCCTTGAGGCAGTAGTTGTATAGTTTCGAAAGGGCGGGCGCCACTTCAGGCGCGCATTTCTTTAAGACAATGGCTGGTATCCCATCTCCACCACTCGCCTTGTTGAGATCTAAATTGGAGATAACGCCCAGTACCAAGGTTGGGGTTATGTTTAACCCACTCAATATGGCCTCAGTTCTAAGAGGAAAGTCGGGTATGGGTACACCAGAAGAGTCGAGCGTCGAGTTGGATGAAAATTTCCGAGCAAAGCATTCAGCCTTGTCGGTAGAGGAGGTCAAGACTTCGAACTGGTTGAATAGGGGAGGTATAGAGGGTTTGCACTTATTCAATACACTCTTGCAGAGACGCCAATAATCTTTGGAGCCAAATTTGCGAGACGCAATACGTTCCTTCATTCGAGCCGCAAATAGTGACTTAGCATCATTTAGGACACGCTTACAATCGTTACGGGCGGCGGCAAAGAGACGTCTATTGCAGTCAGACATGTCGCTACGGTATAGGTGGAAGTAGTGGTTCCTATGGGCGATGGCGGCTGAGCAAGCAGCCGAAAACCAGGGCAGGAGCGCGTCTTAGCCCTGTATTTCCTTGATGGGATGAAAGCGTCGATTCCAGCTTTAACCCAGGAAGAGACCTCAGAAGCACATTCTTGGACGGGGAGCTTAAAGACTCCATCCCAGGGGACATCGCGGAGGAAATCACGGAACGCGTCCCAGTCAGCTCGTTGATAATAGAACGAAGTTCTAGTGGTAGGAGGTTCTTTATAGGGGGAGAGTTAAAGGAGATGTTAACCGATACTACTGCATGGTCAGAGTTACCAAGTGGGCATAGTTGCGAGGCGCTGCAGGATTCGGGGATGGAGGTAAAGCACAGGTCGAGTAGAGAGGCTTTACTTACCCGGTTGAGGGCAAAACGAGTGGGGAAGTTAACTATCTGTGTGAGGGAATGGGAGATTGAAAAATTAAGCGTTTGAATATATCAAATGTATGGTATAAATATATGAACGGACTCTTTACTCCGGCATCTAGTCAAAAATATATATGTTCGTTTCTTGTCATGGTAGAGGGCTTGCGTGTCTCAGTGATCCCAAGATTGAAGTCGGCTGGAGTTTCAACTCCTGTAGGCCCACCCATGAAGACAGCAACGGCTGAATAGGCAAAGATTTCAACCAAACGGGTGGAAGTGGGCAATGCCAATTGTGCTGGCGTAACCAAGGCGGACCTTGACAGATTTCGCACTACAAAGGGTAGGAAGATGTGGAGAGCCATGATTATCCATGTTCTGAAGGTACGGGACACATACAAAAGAAGCATCTGAATAACATTGCCTATTTATTTATATCACTTCTGTAAATTAAAGAAAAGTTCTGATATTGAATTAACACTTTCAGAACTAAGCAACAGGAATAACATTTTCATAATACTACCCGTTGTTGGAATTTTTGGGTAGTTTTTAGTACTAGTGAGCTAGCCAAATGAGCTGACTCATTTTATAGTTCACCAATATAAGGGTTAACCAATCAGAAAGCTCAAAATATTCAATTCGACGAGTATAAAGGCAGCCATTTTGTTTTTTCTCCCAAAATATCTTCACTGCCAACCTGATATCGAAGACTTAAAGAATTAACAGCCGCTACTTTCTCCGAATCTACACTGCCAACCTCTGATATTGAAGAGATTGCGCACTTCACTGGATTCCATATTCAGAGACAACGACAAACATGGTAAACACCCGTTAGGCGCCAAATGTCTTTAACCTGTTGTAGGGAGACCACAGTTGTTTTCCCTCGGGTTGAGCTCATGGGAGTTCGGCCCCTTTAGAGAAGAGAAATCTTATATCCCTTTAGTTTTTACTTCCGTTTTTTTTTTTTTTTTTTTGGAACGGCCTCTTTACTTTCCTGACCACCAGGGTGTCCACACACGTGGAAACTAGTCAATATGTGCACGGCCTAGCGAAAGAAAAACGTAATTTCTATTCACTTATCTACAGACGATCAAAGGCCATAAAGTTGGTATGTTATTTATTTGTTATCGTTCTGAAAACCTCCTCGTTCCTTTGGGACAATATGAACAATCATTTGTTTTGGGACATATGTAAATCTTTTTAATATATATGTAAGTTTGCCTTATTAAATGTTTTGTTTGTTACGGTCGCATATATCGTCTTTCTATATTCGCATTCAGTGTTAGCGTATCAATGGCTACACTAATGCTAATATTAGTATCGGTGTGCTACTGGGAGGCTAAAACGCATTATTCTTCTTAACACTAAATAGCCGGTAAGCTATGACTGGCTGATAAATAACACTAATACCGTTAACCACAACAGGAGAGGCCGAGTTACCGTTTAAGAAACGGGAATTTTCGTAATTTGCAGTGTTATAATTTTAAGTAGATTACACGGCTGATGAAAATGTACTGATTGAAATTCCCACCATTCTCTGTCACAGGGTTAATTAATTGAGGTTTCCTTTTTGAAACCGCGCCAAGTCGTCATTTTGTCCTCCACACACTGTTGCAACTAATTCTTGCTTTCTCGTAGTGACAGATAGTCTCTGGGGGAATTTGTAATGTTCTTTTATTGACCCATGCATTACACATGTCAACAAAGGAAAATTATGTAATATCCCCTTCTTGAAATCACCTTTGTCTTCATTTTGTCCTCCGCGCATTGTTGTGACTAAAACCTGCTTTTCAGGTATTGGTATTTAGTCTCTGGGAATCCCCCTTATTCTATTCTTAGCCTATACACGTCAGCAGAGAATCGTTAACGCTGAAGATGTTAACATTGATGAATAATACGAAATTCAGCTTCAGAAATTTTATAATAAGGAATCATTAATTTCAATTTTGCGTGCTATGCAAATTGAATTATCGTAGTAATCGCGATTGTAACTCTGTAATAAAATCTTGGGATGTCAAAAAAAAAAAAAAATGATGCTGAAGGCGGCTAATTAAGTTGTACTATAAATAAAAGGAAGAATCAGGAAATGAAATAGAACAAAAAATTCCTAAGCACAAATTATAGTCGACTTAAATGAACACTACATTGAAATGTAACCAAGATTTCATCATTTCTTTTTATATCGACTTGGTGTTCATCTGGGCTTACGGCCATATCACGTTGAAACATCTGGTTCTTGTCCGATCACCGAAGTTAAGGAACGTCGATCTTGGTCAGTAGCTAGATGGGTAACCGTTTGAAAATATCAGGTACTGTAAGCTTCGAAGTGTGTGCGTTATGGTTTGCAGCCATATCACGTTAAAACACCGGTTCTTGTTCGATCACCGAAGTTAAGCAACGGTGAGCCTGGTCAATACCTAGATGGGTGACTGTTTGGGAATATCAGGTACTGTAAGCTTGGAAGTAGTGGTGGTATGTTTTACGGCTGTATCACGTTGAAACGCCAGTTTTCATCCGATCACCGAAGTTAAGCAATGTCGAGCTTGGTCAGTAGCTAGATGGGTGACCGTTTGAGAATATCAGGTGTTGGAAGTGTGGGTGTCATAGTTCATGGGCATATTACGTTGAAACACCTGTTCTAGTCCGATCACCGATGTTAAGCAACGTCGAGCTTGGTTAGTAGCTAGATGGGTGACCGTTTTAGAATATCAGGTGTTGGAAGCTTGGAAATGCGGGGTATATGTTTTATGGACATATCACGTTGAAACATCGGTTCTTGTCCGATCATCAATGTTAAGCAATGTCGAGCCTGGTCAATACCTAGATGAGTGACCGCCTGGGAATACTAAGTGCTGTAAGATTGGATGTACTGGTGGTGTAATGGATAACGGTTCTGGATTAGAAATGGGAGAGCCGAGTTCGAATTCCAGTCGAGTTCGTTACATTTACTTGGGAAAATACCATTAGTCGATCATGGTATCGAAAAGAGACATCATGACCCAGACGTGTCACATCCGGCCCTACCAACGCGCATTGGTTCAGCGTAGTAGGAAAATGGTACATTTCTCTTCATGAATCTGGTGGAGGCTAACAACCAACAAAAGCACCTTCACAGAATGAGAAGAAGGAGTATTCATCGTAAGTGGCAATACGATTGAATGAAAAATTATAAATTAGATTTACGTTGTTGTTTTTTCTTAATCACTTGAAACTAGGATTTATAAGGGTTGATAAGCCGTAAAATAAAAAAAAATCAATAATCTTGTCATCATGATTAGGGGTGAAGTGGATTTAATTACAGATTAGATATGTTTTAAAAGTCCCCTTCATGATAACATGTTTCTAGTTTTCAACTGATATATTTTCGCTTACTAACGGTAGAGGGCGTGACAACTTAATTTTCGGAATGACTGCAGAATGATTTCAATATCTACAAGGAGAAACAAAGACTGTAATCTTTTGACAAAATTTAGCTAAATCGTGGTACACTATTCTCTAAACCCATATTTTTATAATAGAATAAGGATTCATACGAATAATATATTTAGGACACGTGGCTCAGTGGATAAAGGCGTTGGATGATTGATTCAAAAAGAGACTTGATCCAAAGAGTTTTGAGCTCAATCCTTGGCCTCAGCGAAGAAAAAAATAAACAAGCAAACTTAGAGCGTTATCAAGAAGAATTAACTAAAACTGAGATATCCATTTTTCTTCGGCCTCTGCCAACTTAACACCTGGACACTATTATCTGATTAATTTGTGGAGCAAGTGGCAAGAAAAAAAAATGCGGCAAACTTTTAAAATCAAAATTTCATTCAGAATCCACTACTGACTTTTACAAGAAATATGATTTGCCAAGCTTATTGAATAATACGAAAATGATTGTTTAATTATCTGGATGACTATATGCTTGTGATCAACATTTTTTTCGAAAATGATATGTACTAAAAGTTGTTTATGAACAAGGTTGGTTGATTACCACCTGGATGATATTTTTCACCTGTCATCGACAAATATTTCACCTGATGTGGAGAAGTTATCGAATTATAAGTGTCTCATTAAATAATTCGCCATTTTTAACTTTTTTAATTTTTGTTCGTAGTAAGGAAGGAATTTGCATTTTTGTTGTTTGTTATTCTTGCAGTAAAATAAGGAACCTTGTTTAAATAACATAATATTAACTTCGTTGTTTTTTCTTTAAACCTTCAGACCAAAGCAGTCTTCTTGACGGAGCGGTCAGAGTTCAAGAGAATTTATTACAGTACATTTGATATCATGGCTTCCTCCAAGACACTGAATAGCTTTCAGGTCCGCTCTCTCCAAAAAGTTACCGACCCCTGCTTTAGTATGTTCAGATCTCTTGCTAACAAACCTTTGCCGTTGAAACAGAGATTGTTCCTGTAGCAGCATATACTTGGGTGTGTGATGGGCCCACGTTTAACCTCATTTGGCATGAGGTAACGGTAGCTGAGCACTACGCAATAATTGAATTCATTACGCTATTAATGATTGGGGTGACTAAATCTATATAATGCGCCAAAATAAAAATACAAAGAAATCCTGTTCGCTCTGTGTTTCCATGGAAGCGACAACAGATACAGACCTGTTGGAGCGAGCAAGTTTTCTTTCTGTTTGCTACAAAATGTTGTTTTTCCATATAATCAATATCGGCTATGCAATTTCATGGTGAAATCTGTGGGTTGACAGCTGGGCGAGGCTGTCTGAGATATGGCTTGTTACCTATATCGTTGTTCCCGTTGATGAAACGCATTACACGCTTCCTAGCTGTGCTCATATCCACTGTTTAGTCTCTGTTATCGTTCGGCAAGTACAATGGTGGAATGTTTTTCTATATTCCCAGACTGAAATCTGTAACAATGTATGAAAAAAATATTATGGGTTATTTGTGGGATGGTTCAATCTCTTCTGCTATTCACCCACGACATTATAGGCCAAAATAATAAAATAAAACGCATTGCTATTAAAGCCAGAGACTAGACAGCTAACTGTGCTCACATCCACTGTTTGCTCTCAAAGGTTAACGAGTATTTTTTGGAACGAGACATGTATTTATTTTAGTCTGGTATTACTAGATCAGAGTTCTTTTGATATATACAATAATTACTACCTGTGATAACGCTTGTTGGACAATCATTAATATTAGATTGAGTCATAAATAATTTCTGTTTATCAACTTAATTTTTCAAAAAATAAATTCAATTACATTTTATTCAATTATATATTCACTATTATTTGAAACGACTTGTCACTTATCAGGCAGCACATCGATACCCTAATGAATGCATTTTGCAAGGATCGGAAACGGTAATAATAGATTGGTGCAAGGTCAGGTGAATATGTTAGGTGAGACAGAACAGACCAACCGAGCTCCCAAATTTTCTCCTATGTTATTCTTGTTGTATGCAACCTTGCGTTTTCATAGAGGAGAACAACATTTTGCTTAGTGATGAGCGCAGGGGGCTTTCCGACCAAACTTTTATGGACATGTTGCAGCTGCTGGAATTATAAATGTGCATTTATTTTTTTTCAATGCATGTTAAGAACTCTAAATAAATAATACCCCAAAGATCCTACCACGCGCACAATATTACTTTTTCTTCTGTGGGGCTCAGTTTTGGCGTCAGTTGTGGAGATCTGTCCTTGTCTTTTCACTGACATTTACGTTGAACATTGTCGTATGTAACACATTTTTCATCACCTGTTAGGATATATTAAACGAACCATAACTTAGGATTAGTCATTAAAATATTTTTAAACATATATTATTAAATATGACAGACAATGAATGTCTATTATGTCTGATCAGGAGCCGTTCTAATGTTCGTATGTTTGCTTTAATTTCGGGTGAAAATAAAGACAAAAATGGTCCAACATCTGGATATTTTTTTTATTAAGTTGGTCTTAAGCTTTCGGCTCACATGAGCCATCCTCAGAGTGGTTATGCAGTCATGAAACCATCAAAGCTGATATTTTGTTATTTTGACATAGAAATTGCTATGCGACGATAACGGTCGCGGAATAGCAGACGCAGATCGTAAATTCAAGATGCGGTTCTATGACGTCATACCACGCGATAGACGTATTACAAGAGAACCAATGTCTAGATGAAATGTAATATGTTGTGATTAGTTTGAAATGTAATTTTGTTGAGTGTGGGTTGCTTCGTTTTTAATGTAGATGGCCTCCAATATCCGAAGGTTCTTTTTACTGTGTGTATGTGTGAGTATTATTGTGTTATCGAATAATATCTGTCTAATATTATGTGCATGGCTATGTTTTTCTAAGAAATATTAAGACCAGAAAGGTGACAGGTGAGTCTACGAGAGAGCGTGGTAGTGGTAAAACCAATGTATGTATTAGGTTTATTATTAGTATCAGAGATACAACCTCTGAACGGGTATGTAGATTGATACACTGCATTGGTTTTTTGTAGAGGATTTAGTTGTGTGGTTGTAGGGTTATTAGAGACTATGAGGTCAATTGTTTTAAATTTTTATAATATATAATGGGCTTAACTTGTTTATTATTATTAATAGGTTTAACATTTCTACCTATTATGTTTTTTGAGTGTTGTTTCATCATGCTTGTAATTATTATATATACATATCTGCATATATATATATATATATATATATATATATATATATATATATATATATAATCTATTATATATATTATTATTTATATATTATATTCATGGTACTTATTAAAAGCGCTCACTATCAGAGATAGAGCTAACAGTGTTTGTCTGACGATGGCAAAAGCGTGAAACCCAGGGTCACAAACTCACATCAATCCAACCAAATATATATATATATATATATATATATATATATATATATGTGTGTGTGTGTGTGTGTGTGTGTGTGTGTGCGCACGCACACACACACACACACACACATAGTGTGACCTCGAGTCACGAACGCATCTCATCACGAATAAATCGGTTCACGAACACATTTTCCAAACAAACAAACAAACAACGTCACTGGTGACCAACGGTGTCTCAAGCGTGATAAGGTAGGTTGTCCAAGTTTCTGGTTAAAATGTGGTGAGGTGCAAAGTTTTGTGGAACGGTTTCACCTTGATAAAGCCGTAGCATAAACATTTTCAATGGCAGTTCTGTGTCTCACTTCAGAGACATTTTAAAACGTAGACAAAACTAATTGCACAAATGTTTAGGCCCAGTGTGTCTGTGGGTGATCCCACTTGTCTTTGCCACAACACCTGCTAGGTGGTGCTCTTTAAGCCTATAAATAAGCAATCATACTCTCTCTTGTTTCCAGATGTTGTTGACGTCGATAATGAACGCTGAGGCGCGTTCGCTTCTTTGGTCCTCTGTTGACCTTTGAACTCTGTCACACACGTACATACACACACGTGTCTATCACACACGCGTTTTTCACACACACAGAAACAAGCACATTCTACTTATTAGTTTTAATAAATTTTCCTTTCATTTCAATTGTGTACATATGTAATTCCTTTTGTTAATAATAAAAATTGACGTCTGTTTTATAATCAATGTTATTTTTTACCCGGACTCACCTGGAGTCCGCCAATATTGAGTGATAAACATTTAATATCCAAAATGTTGATTCCCACAACATAATCGTGACTTTTTTCTACCAAATCATATTACAAGGCACCCCACAAAAAAAACAAAAAAAAACAACAACAACAACAACAACAAAAAAAATAAAACAGGAAATTTGTCACAGTTTATTTAATTATTGGGATTTTTGTTACAGTTATTTGAAACAAAAGCAAAGGATTGAAATTCAGTAACTTCAAACAGAACAAAAAAAAAAAAACAAAAAAAACCAAACAAATGTTACATGTGGCATTCAAATTAAACTAAGTTATTTTTCTTATATGTATTAGTTTTTTTTATATGTTAGTTAATTTTTTTCGTCATATAATAAATCTAACATGTCTTGATTTTTTGTGGGGCACCCTGTAGTATTCCGCAACTAGTCTCAGAGTCGAACGGTGCTAAGCGATAGAAAAGATTAAAGAGAAGAAACCTCAGAATGACAGTTACCTGGTGTTTTTATGGAAGGCGACTCTCCTTGCAAACAATAACATCTCTCCCCCCCCTCTACGCATTCAGCACCATCTTCATTTACGCCATCAACCCCTCTCCCGTACATGTACGAATAAATTAAATTGTTTTCGTCTATGTGTTCATCTTTTTTAATGTTAGATTTAATGATTTTCATTGGTGTTCTGTATAAACTTGTACACAAAATATTGTTGCAAAAGTTTAAATAAGCAATCATTTGGAGCCTAGGAACGGATCAATCCATTTTCCTACCGGAAAAATAGTTTCGGTTTACAAGCATTTCGGGTCACAAACGACCTTCATGGATGGATTAAATTCATGAACCGAGGTTCCACTGCATTTATTGTGTTAATATAATTGAAAAAAAAAATCGTCTGAATTGAAGAAAGCGGCAGATATTCTGTTAAGGCCGAAGACAAAATAAACGGTGCGTTTCGTTTTAACCGTCCACACTTCTTCATTCTTCTCAACAGAGTTGTGAGCTAAAATCTGTCCCAGGACGTGTATTCCTTATATACAAATTTAAAGTACATTTTCACAGTTAGCAAGAATTTTGATCTGCATTGGTATTCAGCAGGTTTCGTATGCAATAAACTTTGGCAATCATTTATTGGCTATGATTTTAAAATTAATTTTTGCAGTTTGCTTTTAGGCTATTAAACTTGAAAAGTTATATGTTGGATGCCGGGCATCGTAAGTCTCCCGTCTGCCTAGAGTTCATTTTTCACTTTTAATTTGATTTGCAGCGAATGAAATTATTTTAATTACACAGATTCACCTTCGATCAATGGAATAATTTTAATTTGTTCCACAAATAGCTTCAGCAGCATTTTGGTCGGCGGCAAATACCGGCTTTTGGCGCTTCCAGTCAGTGTTCAAAATGGTGTTGAGTTTCAATATTCGATCAAGGAATATTAAGCCTAAAAGACCCTAACATGTCAAGGATGAAATTTATATTTACGTTCCTGTAAAATCTCTTGAAAAAAATGTTCTATTATTTTCATGAAAAGAAAGCGAGCGAACGAGTCAGAGAGAGAGAGAGAGAGAGAGAGAGAGAGAGAGAGAAAGAGAGAAAATGAAAATGAAGGAAATAGAAAAGAAAGAATAAAGAAATAAAAATGAAATAAAAATACATTTAATAAAATATAGATTGAACTTTTTTTGGCAATAATAAATTTCATCTAAACACCTCGCAAATAAAAACATTATCCTTTTTGCACCCTTCTATACAATTATATATAATTCAATATATATATATATATATATATATATATATATATATATATATATATATATATATATATATATATATATATATATATATATATATATATACAAACGCATGTGACTCTACTTTGAATGTTGCTGGTGTCAAGGTGGATTTGGTGACATAGTAATTGTGAGTTCAATCCCTGAGCCGGGCAGTGTGTACATAGATTCAGTGAAAACAGGGAAAGTAATTACTGAGTAGCACAAAAAAAAAAAAATCTAAAAAAAACTAGACGAGATATCCCTAGACATGGACAAGAGGAGGAGACTAATCTACCGCCGTAGATTAAATAAAAGGGCTCTGTTCAAAATTCCCTGGAGGTTACCCGGACACACATACACCTAATGAAGTCCGGACGCCACAACAAAAACAATGACGAAGACGATAGTCTGCATGTAAATAATAATAACTCCTAATCCTAGAAATTGAAAAAGAAACTCCAAAATCCAACGGACGTAATCAGCTTCAGCCATAAAAAAAAACAAACAAACAAAAAAAACAAAAACAAAAGAAGAAACACTTAAAATAGGCAAAAGTGCAGCAGGTTACCGCAAGGAGGAGGAAGACAACTTTGAAATGAAAACCGTGAAGAAGGTAACAGGAAACAGCTATATTACCCAAGAAAGTATGAGAACGCACAGGCTCTGAGAGAAAGAAAAGCCATCCTAAAGAGATATGGAGTATTTACAAGGACGATTTTACTATAATGCATTGAAAATGAGTAAGTAGCTTACAGTCGTTAATCAGGAGTGAGGCAAGTTTTAACGACACAAATTCAATTTGGGACACACACACAGACACACATACGTATATATATATATATATATATATATATATATATATATATATATATATATATTTATTTAAAAATATGATTCCAAATCGCTACATAAGAGGTCTCATGTTTCAAAACAAGAGCCGAAAACTTCAATATAATCCTTTAAATTAAATTGAGTTGAAATTAAAAGGGCTCCGTTCCATCTTCAAGCGAATTTTTTGTTGGAATAACGTATATCTGAAATTTATTTGTTTTAAAAGTTGAAATCAAAATCACCATGGTAACAGTTAGGGCGAATTGTCTAAAATGGGTGGGCGGAGTGTAGGGTGTTAATGATGAGTGGCGGTATAGAGATACTTTCAAGGTGTCAAGTCGGGGAAGGTGGGGGTGTTAAAAAGAAACGAAGATGTATTAAGCTTTCGTCAAGTTGGCTTGTCTATGGAGATTTATTTATTTATTTTATTTTATTTTATTATGAAAGGAACTGTGCTTATAAAAGAAAAACTTTCGTGGCGTTTGTTTTTTGACGACTACATAAAGGGTTATCTTTTTAGGTAAGGTATTTAAACTACTAATTTGGGCTATGTATTATGAAGGGTGTTATGTTGTATGCAAGTTTGTAGTTAATAATTTCTACTATGAATCTGATGATTGGGTTATTTGTTAAACAAGTTATATAATTTTTTTTTTTTTTTTTATTTCAAACCAAAAATCTGATGATGCCTACAAAAACCGTTAACTCGTGTCTATTATTTAATAGATTATTATTATTTAAAGTTTAATAATGTGTAATTTTTCATGGAGGCACAAAAGGGCATGGGTCATCCAAAGCCTTACATATTCTAGCCTTGTCAATAATTTTCCATTTAACTTTTGGTGTCTTATTTGTTTCCTTCAAGTGCCAAAAATATTTTGATAGTGAAGTCTGGTTTCTTTTGTTTATATTATTAAAGGAACACTTATGCTGCCTCCATCTATCTTTAAAATTATTCTTCGTGGACCCAATGTATATCATATTAGTGCTAGGGCATATATATATATATATAGTGATAATAAGAAGACGGAGACTTTAATTATCTATTTCGTTTATAATTTTCATTTCGTGAACACCGAGATGTTCAGCTCATGAGAACGAAAACCTTCTCCTCAAATTTGATGACGAGCTGAACATATATATATATATATATATATATATATATATATATATATATATATATATATATATATATATATATATATATGAACACATAAGGTGACGTGTTGGCAAAATGCAAGGGTTAAAACAGGATATATATATATATATATGTGATGACAGTCTGAATAGTAATGCGACTGGTGTCACAAAATTCCAAACAACAAACGACATGGTTTCTCCTTCAAATTAATCCCCCTCGGTCTAATGCACTTACCCATCCCTCAGTGCCACACTTCTGGAAGATTTCTTCTTGGATGCCACTCAGCTCCGTCGTTACAGCTCTCTTGATGGCCTCCATGCCTTCAAAAGGGGTCCCCTTGAGTGACGGGAAACAAAAAACTTCACACGAATCAAAATCAGTTGAATAGGGAACTTGTTTCTGTACGGCGATGTTCTTCTCGACCAGATGCTCAGGACGTTGTAAGCAGGTGCGTTGTTCTGATGAAGCAGCACGATTGGTCCTGCCACATCTCTCGCATGCAAAAAACATGCAATGGTTGCAGAAAGCTAAGATTACAGTGATATATACCCAAAATGTCATGTTAGATGAGAGCACAATCCGCTTATCTCTCTTTCGCCCAGGGCTCACACAGTACAATCAGTCCCGTTACTTTTCAGACAGACCTTATATATATATATATATATATATATATATATATATATATATATATATAAAAACACTCAATATATATATATATAAATACTCAATCCCCGATATTAAATACTCTTCCCTATACATATAGTCAATTTCAAATTATATATATATATGTAGATTTCATAATTTTCTTAGGTGTATAGAACTTTATTATGTAAATAAAAAAGGCAAGACCAATTTTACTGTTCATGATTAAAAAAAAGCCGACCGGTTTCGCCCTCATGCAACATAGATGGAATCGTGGGAATAAATATTACAATATAAAATATATGCAATGTATTAAAGGCGGAACAATCAGATTGAAATAACGTCAAGCCCTAACAGACATTTCCTCTGTTTACAGAGGGAGGGCTGTCCGGGCTTGACATAGATTGTTTCTAATACCTTCAAATGTCACAAAGAGTGAGCATGACTCAGGATGATAAAAGAGTCGATGGTGGCACAATTTGGATTATTTATGAAATACTCCGTAATGGCAGAACTATATGTAGATAGATAGACAGATACATATATAGATATAGTTATAGAATGACAGCCGTAAAATAATCAGTATGACGATAAACTACATCCAGCAGCAAGGCATCTGATCGGAAGACTGGAGGTTTTGAAGAGCATGGAACCACCTCTTAATTGCTGTTATTCTCAGGTCTGACCTGATCCGGTCTGGTAGCACCTGATAGGACCCCAGCTATGGATAAATAGTGAACCTCCAAACGAAAACAAAAACACTATGAAAAAAAAAACACATTTTTATAGTAGAAATACCAATAATACATTTCTTATATAGTAAAATTATCAACACTTTTCTAGGAAAACGACCAATAGTCATTGAAGGCAAATAATTGCGTCCAAAATATATAGTTTTCAGCAGCAAATAACCCATAGAGGTTGATATGCCGCTAAACAAATCAAACGACCAAGGTAAGAAAATGCCAAAGATGTAATGAGATTGAGATGAATACATATATAGATAGATACGAGCAGATTGAAACAGACAGATATGAACAGATTGTGGTAGTCAGATTGGTTGATTATGGTGCGATAATGAAACCTTGTTGGGTTACGTAATGTCAAATATGCCTTACAGGGCAAAGATCACATCACGTGTTAATCGATAGATTGAAATGTACTGTCCACACGAGTCAAAATATAGACAGGTCTGGTTTATATTCAGTCAAAAAGCTACACATATGGCTTATAGAAGAGTTTGAAAGGGTTCACAAGAAAGGTGACACTTTTTGGATGGGAATTGTACCTCTATGCAGAGGATATTGTTGGCGTATTCTAATCCTCGCTGCTTAAGAAACATGGAAATAGATAGATAGATAGATAGATAGATAGATAGATAGATAGATAGATGAGAATAGATGAGAATATACTGAGATAGACAGATAGATAGATAAATAGATAGTTATGAACAGGTATATATATATATATATATATATATATATATATATATATATATATAATATACTGAGGTAGATAAATAGATAGTTATGAACAGGGATAGATAGATAGATAGATAGATAGATAGATAGATAGATAGATAGATAGATAGATATATGAACAGACAAAGCTAGAGAGATAGGAACAGAGTAGGATAGGTAGATAGATATAAATGAATTGAGATAGACATATAAGAAAACTTGAATAGGCAGACAGACTGAAGATAGATCGATCGATACATAGATAAATAGGAACAGAGTAGAATAAATAGATAGATATGAACGGAATAAGATAGATATATATCAAGCAACTTGAATAGTTAGACAACCAGACTGACAGATATATCAATCGATCGATCGATCGATCGATAGATAGATAGGAACGGAGTAAAATAAGCAGATAGATACGAACGGACATTTATTAAGCAAATTAAATAAGCAGGCATACAGACTAACAAATAGATAAGTAGACATGAACAGAGTGATATAGACATAAATTAACTGTTTAACTATTAAATGTTTATTTAGAGATTCCTGATAAAACCCAAAGGAGAATCAGCAATATTATTGGTCCTGATCTCGCGTCTCTTTTTCAGTCACTTTCCCACTACCGTATAGTTTCTTCCCTGTGTCTTTTCTATAAATACTTTCATGGTAATTATTCCGAGGAACTCTTCGCTATGGTACCTAGACTTTATAAATTTAAGTGCAGTACTAGAATGTTAACAAAGTTTCATCAATTTACAGTTGAATTGGCTAGATGTAACCGTAAGTTCTATGCTAACAGTTTCTTTTCTCAGACTTCTGACTTGTGGAACCCTTTTGGGCTCCATGCTTTTTGGCCAACTTTGATATTCAACAATTTAAATGAAATGTCAATCTTTATCTACTGCCAAATTCTTTCACACACAGTAATCCATTGTGTCTTAGTTGCTTTTCTGTCTTGCTTGGGGTGAATTTGATAAAAAGAACTTAGTGAGGTAGACAAATAGCTCGATAGATATGAATGGAATGAGGTAGATATTAAAAGATTGGTATAGATAAATAGATAAGAAGATTGAGATAGATAGGTAGATAGGTAGATATACATGAACTGAGTGCATTAAACAAATAGACATATATATATATATATATATATATATATATATATATATATATATATATATATATATAGATAGATAACTAGACTCGTTTCGAAAAACCCTCGAATTTTTGATTTGCTAATAATCAAATCAAGCTCGAGGGGAAAAAAGGTTTTAAAAAAAGAAAGAGCTAGAAACATGAACTTCTGTCGAAAAAAAATCGCGCAGATGCAGGTCTGAAGCCCAAAGAAAACCCCGATACGAGTAAACAACTAACTAACAAAAGCACTCAATACAACCGTAGAGCAGACCTATATATATATATATATATATATATATATATATATATATATATATATATATATATATATATATATTGAGTTGAGATAGTGTTATGGTCCGGTTCCTTGTACCACGGTGATAGTCCAAGGTAGAACCAATAAAGAAGAACTCGAATACGGATATGGAATAACACAGATATATTACAAACAGGAATATATACAGAGAAGTGGAAAAGTGTTAGTACGAACAATCAGGTTTAGTAGGATTGTCTGAACGCGACTCTGTTTCGGACTGCCTCTGACTCGACTGACTGACTCGCTCGCTCTGACTGACTGACTGACTGACTGACAGACTCCTGACGGACTTCATTCCATCATTCCAGACTTCAGACGGAACTCCCTGCTTCCTCTTGAGGCGCAGTATTTATTACGTATGGAATGGTCCATTATGTTATTATGGGTAAGGTCCCATAACAGATAGATATGAACAGAGTGAGATAAACATATATCAAGACAGATAGATATAAACAAAGTGATATATAGAGACATATACGAACCGAGTGACATAGATAGGAAGATATGAACTGAGTAAGATAGCTAGATTGATATGAATGGACCGAGATAGATATTAACAGATTGAGGTAGATAGACAGATAGATATGAACAGAGTGAGATAGATATCAAGAGATTTAGACAGACAGACAGACAGACATTTTGATAGATAGATAGATATGAACAGAGGGAGATAGATAGATATCAAGAGATTTAGACAGACAGATAGATAGATAGATAGAAACAGAGTGATAAAGATAGGTAGATATGAACTGAATAAAATAGATATGTACAGACTGAAATAGATATTACTATATTGAGATAGATATGAACAGAGATAAACATGTCAAGACACTTAGACAGACGTACAAACAGACAAATAGATAGATAGATGGATTGATTGACAGCTAGCTACCTAGATAGATAGATACGAATAAAGTGATGTAGAGAGACAGATATGAACAGAGTAATATAGATGGGTAGATATTAAACTGAGTAAGATAGCTAGCTAGAGTGATATGAATGGAATGAGACATTAAACATTGCCACACAATAGTATTCATGTTTCGGCATTAAGCTGTACATCTTCAGTCAATGGTAAATGACTAAAAACTTAAAAATAATCAGTATTTACATTAGTCGGACTATTGTCCTCATCTTTGTCGCCATATTTGTCACAACGTTTCGGCTGTTGTACGCTCCGGCCTTCTTCAGGTGGTTGGAATTTCGAACTGAACCCTTTATTTCGATCACTGGGGTAGACTGTTCTAGTTCCACGTGCCATGTTTGATGGATGTCAGTTATCAGTTATCTCCTGCTAATTTTCCCTCTGAAAGTTCTCAAGGTCACATGGCACAGTGGATAAAGGCGTTGATTAGATCCAGTGACAGACCCAAAAAAGGTGAGTTCAATTCCTGGTCAGAGGGAAAATGTAATGTAATGTAAATACTGTACATAATACCTCATCTCAGAAATATAGACAGACTCTTAAAAATAATCATTTATTCACCAGTCATTAGCTTAGTTGCGAAACATGAAAGCTATTGTGTAGCAATTTTTAACATGTTTTTGTTTTAATCTACTATAATAAATAATATTAAGGTCTACTCTGTATTGAGTCCTTTTTTAAAACTTCAATGCTACGGAAAGTGGAATTATACTAGATGTGTTCTTATCTTATACCTGAATATATATATATATATATATATATATATATATATATATATATATATATATATATATTATCAGACCGAACTGGGTACATATAAAACAAATAGAGTGGGCATAATTGATTGAAGAAAAGCCTCTGTATGATACGATAATTTCAACGATGTTTATTGAATATGAATACGTATATGCTTGTATGTTTGTATACACAAATACTGAATATTTAATCTCATATTCTTACGTTTCAATACCCTCATCTACGTTCATTTAACTCTTTTGTGCACACGTAAAAGATCATTATTATCCGATCGTTCTTATTCCACGGATCAAAGGCTAATTCTACTTAAAGCTAATAACCACGCCTACTGATAGAGGAACGCCTGTAAGGGCAACATAAATTGGCTCTTAAACCTTAACATGGAAATCAGTTTTTGTCAGTACCAAAGACGTGTCTTTCTTATAGAACCTGGCACATTGATGTTCAATAAATGCTCGGCTATCGCCGATCTAGCTTAATTAAAGCGATAATGAACAATCGTATGAAAATTAATTAAAAACAGTGAAATACGGACATCCATCATCATCATCATCAACATCATCATCCTTCGACCTCCCTATAATTGGTTGGAATTTCATTGACAATCCCTTTCCAGACTGTTAGTTCCTGTATTGTTGCGTCCAGATCCCCAACGTCCAACCCTGAGTCCCGCGCTATAGTGTCTGGGAAAGTCAATTTTCATGAGAAGACATTTCCAGAAGGATTTAATAGAAGTAAGGATGACATGGTATCTCTGTCCGCTCGGTGGCAGTGGCCGGCAAACTATAATGGTTTTCATTTAAGAGAAATTGGTCTCAGTTCTCCGTAGATTATGCTAAGTGTTGCATGGGATTTCCAACTGATGTTCTGGATTTTTCTAAGCAGATTTGTATATGTTCTATCCAGTCATCTTTCAAGACGAACAGATAATGTCCAAATTTCTCATCCAAATAGTAGGACTGGTTCAATCAATATTCGAAAGGTTTGGACTTTTAAGGAGGATGGAAGGTTCGAACGCCAAATCTTGTGAAGTTTCTTCCACGCTTTCCATGCAAGAGCTTTGAGAATGTCGAAGTCTTTTTGGGAATCTATTATGTGAGATCCAAGATGTTTGAAGTCCTCAACTCTTTTGATGGATGTATTATTGAGTGACATTCAATATAAAATATCATCCTCTATACACACATTATACAGTCTACCAAAATTACTCAGAATAAATATTCCAGTATGACCAACAGTCTCTAGAATTCATTGTGCAACTCACAAAATTGCTAGAGCTAAAAAATACTAACCCACATGTAAAGAATTCTGATGGCTCACTAAATAAAATCAAAGATTATTTGAAGGACTTTTAACCTTTTGTTTTTTTTAATCAAGCTCCGTCGAAACATTTTAAACCGACGCGAGCGATTAATCGAAAACAAATTTGATGAAAAAATAAGAAGAGATTAAAAAGGCCAAAGACATGATGAGTTACGACTGAAATAAAAAAAAACAAAAAAAAAAAAAAACGCTTATCGCCATTTTGTGATTCAATTTATATATATATTTAACTTTTAAACTAATATTACTATGCATAGATAGATTTATATACATATAAAGATAACTGACTTTTATAGGATATTATAGCTGACTGTTTGTTTCAGAGTATGCCTGTCTACCTTGTGTGTCTAGCTAATCTCTGTTGCAGGCATATTTTGTGTTTTTTCGATACCAAATCTGTTGTCTATACTGCAACTACGCAGTGTGGACTTTAGTTACAATTTCATATGTCGTGATCAGAAGTTGACCAAGGCCAATATACCCAAACCCTAGCATAACCATCATCAGTTTCGTTTACCCACAACGTTTTATGATATCCAGTGCACACTTTGGCTCTAGTAATAGCTTTCCTAAGGAAGAAATGCAATGAGGGTTTGATTCCCGTCGGAAGGTACATTTTTCCGAATTAGAAATTCTCGATTTCGACGGGATGGCATTAATTTCACTGTTTAATATATATATATATATATATATATATATATATATATATATATATATATATATATATATATATATATATAAAACCCTAAAAACAGCGATTTTAATTCAAACACATGTATCCAATAAAAATAAAGTTTATAGAAATGATGTAGGATTAAAAAAAATATTTAGAAATAACTATATATTGACATACACATATATATATCCAAGCATGCGCACATCTATTATTTGAACATTTATTTTCTTAGTATATAAGAATGAATTTTATAAAATTATTTTAAGAGAGCTTTTTAATATATAACATGGGACATAATAAAAACTGAATCCTTTCATATTCACGAACAATATTTGTCTCGAAATAAACAACATCCTGATGATGACATCGTACTATGTCGAAAGTACTCGGAATAAAATAATATGTATCAACACGGCGATTTTCTCTCTTCCTTTAATAATGACACCAAAAAGCTTGCCCGTGAATATGAAAGGATCTAATTAAAAATAAGTAGACAAAACTTGTCTAAATTATTCAATGAAACATATTTCAATAAAAACGTATAAAGCTATATAAAATATATATATATATATATATATATATATATATATATATATATATATATATATATATATATGTGTGTGTGTGTGTGCGTGTGTGTGTTTTCATTAAAGATGACAAACAAGGTACTGCAATTAAGCTTTTTTATTTCATTTTTCTTGTGTTCGAACAAGTGTTTTCTTTTCTGTACACAGAGTGTGTAGAAACTGTTCAAATGTTCTGTAATCCCGAGCGCTTTCGGCCATACTATTAGCAATTATCAAGGATGATTTTATCTTCACTTTTTGACTGGATGTATGGGATAGGTGTATGTATCTAGAGGTATAGGTATATTTTATTTTCCGAACACAGTCAGCACATTGTGGCCGTGTTTTTCATTATTTTTTTTACATGTGGATGAGGTTATTATGCTTGTATTTTCTACTAGTATGTTTCGGATGGAGTCTGGTAATTTTGTGTGTTTAAAAGGGTTCTGATGGAGCTGTTGTCGGATACGTGTCCGTTAATGAAACATGTATAAAGGAGGGATTGCTGCCTAAATACACAATAAATACATCTATAAATAAAAACAATTATAACTCAACTACACATAAATAAAAATAAATGTAATAATCATCAACAACATATAATTAAGTAAACAATAATAAATAATTGGGATGTTTCTCTCGCTGCCATTCATTAACTCCGGATACACACGGATGCACTCAGAGAATAAAGTTTTTCTTAATTTACACATTTGTTTGTCTTGTTTTTTTTTGTTATTAATTCATAGAACGAGTTATTCGATATTAGATCTCTTATCAATCAAAGTGTCTGCAGTGATCATCTTATCATAAGCAACTGTGCCAGAGGTTTTTGAATCAAGATTGTTTGATTAATTTTTTACGGCTTATCAACCCTTTGTAAGTTATTTAAATCCGAAATATATTTTGAAGTTTTTACGAGTGAATATTGTAATAAAAAAGTATTTTTTGAGATGATAATAATTTTAGAATACATGTTCTACTATTTTACCCATAGATGGGGGGTAAAAGATGTGGATTCATACCTTTCCCAAGGGTATTTGAGCTCAAATGAATGTAAAGAACATGACCAGAATTCGAGTTCAATTCTCAGATTTCTCATTCCGAACTTTTATCCATTACACTACCTTCACATCCAACGTTAAAGCACCTGATATTCGAAAGTCGTCACCCATCTAGGTACTGGCTCGGCTGGACGTTGCTTAACTTCGGCGATTAAATTTTTTACACAGCTTTAAAAAAAAACGAACTCTTATTTGAAACAGCAAGACTGCAAATACACAGTTTGTTTATATTTTGAATTTTTTTTTTCTAATCATCTTTTGTGGAAAATAATAATTCTTTAATTTCCGTATTTTATTGATATATACAAATATAGTAAAGTCATATCAAACAGAAAAGTATGATAGATTAATTAACACTTTAAAAGGTATTACCGGGTATGTCTACGCTACACGGGCCGCTGACGGCAACGCCAGTGGTCCTCTGGCGGCGGCCACCGGCAGGCCACCAGTGGACCTCTAACAGTCCGCCAGTGGTAATATTGCCGAGAGGAACACACCGGTGCTCCGAGAGCAGGCAACCAAAGGTAAACGCTGGTGGCATACCAACCAGTGGCAGATTGGTGGTTTGCGTGTAGGGCATTCAGTGCCTTTCACCGAAAATAAGTTTTGTAACGGAAATTAGGAAAAAAAGCAAAAAAAAAAAAAAAAAAAAGCAATGGTTAAACATCCGGGTCATTGCGATTCTTTAATAGCGTGAAAAATTAAATATTATAATTAAATATATTGAAATGTTAATGGATAATATGGTAGAACTGTTCAAAAAATATTTAGATAGGGAATAAGGGTGGTTCGTTGCAATATTCGTGAATGGTGGATCTTAGCCGTGAAGGTTGGAAATGGTGGAACTAAAGAATGTAGTTCGTTTGAACACTTTCCATGGAAATAGCGTTAGAACAGAGAGAGGCTTGAGACGTTTTGTCTATGAGAAAGAAGACACACACACGCATACACACATACAAAAAGATGTACACAGATACGCACAAACAAACGTGCAACCATGAATATCTATCTATCTATCTATCTATCTATGCTTTCTTCCTTCCTCTTCCTATCTATCTATCTATCTATCTATGCTTTCTTCCTTCCTCTTCCTCCTCCTATCTATGTTTTCTTCCTTCCTCTTCCTCCTCCTCCTATCTATCTATCAATCTATCTATGTTTTCTTCCTTCCTCTTCCTCCTCCTATCTATCTATCAATCTATCTATGTTTTCTTCCTTCCTCTTCCTCCTCCTATCTATCTATCTATGCTTTCTTCCTCCCTCTTCCTCCTATCTATCTATCTATCTATATATCTATCTATGCTTTCTTCCTTCCTCTTCCTCCTATCTATCTATCTATCTATATATCTATCTATGCTTTCTTCCTTCCTCTTCCTCCTATCTATCTATCTATCTATCTATCTATCTATCTATCTATCTATCTATCTATCTATGTCGATAGATATTTCAGCTAACCTTTTTGCACACAGGCATATTTGGAAAATTGTTCCGATATACGCATGCATAAATAAATGTAGATGTGATGCCTGCAAGCAATAATGAAATTATTGATTTTCACGATACAAGAGATCGATATCAAATTTTCTGCATATCATTCTAATTTA